TAACAGTTACATAAGTCAGGTAATGAGTATACTTTTTTTTTTTTTTGTCGATAGTGGGGCTTGAACTCTGGGCTTGGGGGCTGTCCCTCAGCTCTTCAGCTCAAGGCAAGCGCTCTACCACTTGAGCCAGAGTGCCACTTCTGGTTTTGTAGTGGTTTATTGGAGATAAGAGTCTCACAGACTTTCCTGCCCGCGCTGGCTTTGAGCTGTGATCCTCAGATCTCTGCCTCCTGAGTAGCTAGGATTACAGTGAGCCACCGGCGCCCGGCCAAGTATACTTCTTTTTGGACCCTTTCCCTTGCTCTCTCTCAGTTTTTCTCTTGTCCCCAAGACCCTCTTAAAGTTAGTCACTATTCCTAGTACTTGACATGTAGAAATATAATAAGACCAGGAGATTTAAGAAGGGAGATTGAGGACTGGGAATGTGGCTTAGTGGTAGAGTTTAGCATGCATGCAGCCCTGGGTTTGATTCCTCAGTATCACATACACAGAAAAAGCTGGAAGTGGTGCTGTGGCTCAAGTGGTTGGGTGCTAGCCTAGCAAAAGGAGTTCAGGGACACCCCAGGCCCTGAGTTCAAGCTCCGGGACTGCTAAATAATAATAATAATTAATAAATTTAAATGAACCACAGGAAAGTAAAATAGGCTTCATTGGGAATCAGGTATCAGCCATCAGGAGTGAGGAAGACCAACAGAGAGGGTGGATATGGTCCAAGTATTTTATATCCATATATGAAAACAGAGCAATGATGCCTGTTGAAATGTTTTAAGTAACAATGAGATGTACAAGTCGTTACGTCAAAAAACGAACTTTACAACTTTGGCGAGGGGGGGATGGGAAGGGATAGGAAGGAGAAACAAAGGAGGAAGCAATAACGCTTGATAAGAAATATACTCATTATCTTGCCCATATAATTGTAACTCCTGTACGGTATTTCTTTTTTTTGGGGGGGTCCGGTCGTGGGGCCTGAACTCTGGGCCTGGGCGCTGTCCCTCAGCTCTTCAGCTCAAGGCTAGCGCTCTACCACTTGAGCCACAGCACCACTTCCGGCTTTTTTCTTTTTGCTTATGTGGTGCTGAGGAATGGAACCCAGGGCCTCAGGCATGCAAGGCAAGCGCTCTACCACTGAGCCACCTTCCCAGCCCCCTGTACGGTATTTTCATAATAAAAAATTTTTTAAAAAGAAACGGGGAGGGCCAGGCACTGGTGGCTCATACCTGTAATCCTAGTTACTCAGGAGGATGAGATGTAAGGATTGCAGTTCAAAGCCAGCCCAGACAGGAAAATCCACGAAAGTCTTATCTCCAATTAACCACCAAAAAACTGGAATCGGCACTGTGGCTCAAGTTGTAGAGTGCTTGCCTTGAGCTTCTCCAGGAGAGAAATTGTAAAAATTAAGGCTCATATGTCTGTGTAGGTAGTTTAGGTGTTTTCTGCTTTTCTAGCATGTATTCCTAGCACTTGAGAGGCTGGAGCAGAAACATCTTCAGTTCAAGGACAGCTTGGCCTACACATCAAGACCCTGTTTTTTGTTTTTTAAAGATGTTCAGGTTACTAGCTTTCTGTTTATTTTCGTGTTTTCACTGATGGGGATGGTACCCAGGGCCTCATGCATGCTAGGCAAGTGTTCTATCACTGAGCTTCATCCCCAGCCTTCTTTTCCTTTAATTTGGTTTAATAAACACTTTTTAAATGGTGGTCTATTTTTTTTTTTGGGGGGGGGGGTCTGGTCGTGGGGCCTGAACTCTGGGCCTGGGCACTGTCCCTCAGCTCTTCAGCTCAAGGCTAGCGCTCTACCACTTGAGCCACAGCGCCACTTCCGGCGTTTTTCTTTTTGCGTATGTGGTGCTGAGGAATCGAACCCAGGGCCTCATGCATGCAAGGCAAGTGCTCTACCATGAGCCACCTTCCCAGCCCCAATGGTGGTCTATTATAACCAACTTTTTTTCTTTCTTTATTGGGATATAAATAGTGGTGGTGCTATATTTAATAATATCTGAAATTTGATGTAATGCAAATGCTTTCTCATTTGGGAAGATTTAAAAATGTAGGGCTGATATATTCATGTAAAATAATAGTTCACAATTTAAGCTGGGCACTGGTAGCTCACGCCTGTAATCCTAGCTATTCAGGAGGCTGAGATCTAAGGACTGCAGTTTGAACTAATCCCAGGCAGAAAAGTCTGTGAGACTCATCTCCAATTAACCATTCCAAAAACTGGAGCTGTGGCTCAAAGTGGTAGAGCACTAGCCTTGAGCACAAAAGCTCAGGGACAGCACCCAAGCCCTGAATTCAAGTCCCATGACCCATCATCAACAAGAACAAAAATTTACCAATTTGATTTGTACAAGTCAGTGAATTTCCACAAATGTGTGAGGACATTCAACTGCCACCAAAATTGTGACAAAGCACTTTTTAATCCATCATGGCCTGAAGTCTGGGCCTGGGCGCTCTCCCTGCACTCTTCAGCTCAAGGCTAGCACTCTACCACTTGAACCACAGTGCCATTTCTAGCTTTTTCTGCTGATGTGGTGCTGAGGAATCAAACCCAGGGCTTCATGCATACAAGGCAAGCATTCTACCACTGAGCCACCTTCTCAGCCCTGAATCTATTGCTTTTGCCTGTCTTGTCATTGTGTGATCATTGATTCACTTTCTATTACTATAGTTTTATGTTTTCTAGAGTCTCATATAAATGGAATCATAGAACATGTTTTCTGTCTGAGTTCTTTCATTTTCACTTATTTTCAGGTAGATATCATTGTTTTTGTTTTGTATTTGTGGGGGTGGGGGGGGAGACAGGAGGTGAGACAAGGTCTCACTAGCAGAGGCTAGTCTTGAACTCAAAATCCCCTGGAGTGCTGGAATTATAGGCATGAACCAGTATAACCACTACAGTTAAAAACGAAGTGAACTAGTGGTTCATTTGTATTGTTCATACTTATGACATGCATCATTAGTTCATTTTTATTGCATAATATTTCATTTGATATAGGTATCACATATTTTTTATAAAAAATTTTATTTTAGGGGCTGGGAAGGTGACTCATTGGTAGAGCGCTTGCCTTGCATGCATGAGGCCCTGGGTTTGATTCCTCAGTACCACATAAGCAAAAAGAAAAAAGCCAGAAGTGGCGCTGTGGCTCAAGTGGTAGAGTGCTAGCCTTGAGCTGAAGAGCTGAGGGACAGCGCCCAGGTCCAGAGTTCAGGCCCCACGACCGGAGCCCCCCCCAAAAAATTTATTTTATTGTAAAGATGTTGTCCAGAGGGGTTACAGTTACATGAGTAAAGCAATGAGTACATTCTTCCCTCCCTTGTTGTTATCCCACTATCCCTTCCCTCCCCCTGTGTCACATATTCTTTTCCACTCTCCTGTTGATGGGCATTTGAATGATCTCCAGTTTCAAGTAATTTATGTAAGTAATGTGCAATTGGCATTTTGTAAAATAGGAAGGATATTCCCAAGTAAACCAAAATGGGCTTGGTGTTTTTTCCCCCTTCCTATGGGGCACTAGTCCCAGAAGAGAATCCTTTCGCTTAGGAAAAAAGAAAGGATGATAAAAAAGGAAATCTCATATGTCTGGGTGATATGACATCTTTAAAATTAGTATCTTTGCCAGGCGCAGGTGGCACACACCTGTCATCCTAGCTACTCAGAAGGCAAAGATCTGAGGATCACGGTTCAAAGCCAGCCTGGGCAGGAAAGTGAGATTCTTCTCTCCACTTAACCACCAGAAAACTGAAAGTGGCGCTGTGGTTCAAGCAGTAGAGTGCTCACCTTGAACTAAAGAGCTCAGGGACAGCACCCAGGTCCAGAGTTCAAACCCCAGGACACCCTCCCCCAAAAAAGTAACTTGTATTTTGCCTGTGGATTCTGATCTAAACATGGAAAACTATGGTCTAATGCCTCTGAAGATACACTTTAGATTCAATTATAGAAAAGATCTCTCGGTGGCTTACACCTGTAATCCTGGCTACTCTGGAGGCCATGACCTGGAGGAAGGCAATTCAAGGCCAGGGCACACCAGGCACTGGTGGCTCATACCTGTAATCCTAGCCACTCAGGAGGCTGAGATCTGAGGATAGTGGTTTGAAGGCCACCTGGGAAAGTCCATTAGACTCTTATCTCCAATTAATCACAGAAAAAGACGAAAAAGCTGTGGCTCCAATGGTAGAGTGGTAGCCTTGAGCAAAAGAAGCTCAGGGACAGCGCCTGGGCAATGAATTCAAGCCCCAGGACCGGCAAAAAAATAAAAATAAAAAATAACAGAAATAAACCACCAGGGCAGGCAGGAAAGCCCAAAGGACTAACTCTAACTAGCAGGAAAGCTGAGCTGGATCAAGTAGTAGAGTGCATCCTTGAGCAAACAAACCAAGCAAACATGAAGGTCTGAGTCTAAGATCCTTGCCTGCACCAAAAAAGAAAGAAATAAATAAAATACCTCCCACTGCAGTAGTATAGTTTAATTGTTGAGCCAAGGGAATAATGAAGAGATCAACCTGGGCAAAGATGTGTGTGTGTGTGTGCGTGTGTGTGTGCGCGCGCGAACGCGAGAATGCGCGCGCGGGCACACACACACACACAATTTATTCTCCTAATGAGGCAAAATTTGTATAACACTGAGTTCATTTGAGGAAAACTAAATACATTGAAGTGACACTAACTTTTCCAAAGACACAATTAACTTAAAATATGGACGTTTAGAAATGTAGAATTCCTGCACTCTTGACTAGAAAAAAGACGCTTTGTATGCTGGGATGATTTGTAGTCCTCAGCAGAGTCTTTTCCAGTCAAGATGGCGGAGTTGCTAATGACGCGCTCAGGGGCGGGTCCCTGAGGGAGTTTGCGCCGCTAGGGGATTGGGCGGTGCGGGAATTCTGCAAACTGGGAGTACAGACCAGGTATTAAACCTTTCCAGTTAGTGAAGCTGGGCATCCTGAAATCTCGCGAGATCTCGGGGGACCCAATGGAACGTGGGGCTCAGCTTATCACTAGGAGCATTTGTTGGGGGCGGAGCTCCGGCGCGAGCTGCCAGAGAACCGGAGGTGCCCGGTTTAACGGCTGTCCACACTGAGCTGTCGCTCTGAGAAGCGTCGTAGTAGCCATGAAGGAAGACAAGGAGCACAGGCCCAAGGAGAAGCGAGTCACCCTGATAATGCCTCAGGGGGCCTCCGGCGGCGGCGGCGGCAGCAGCGGCAGCGGCGGCGGCGGCAGCGGCTGCGGCGGCGGCGGCGGGACTTCAGGGGAAGGTGGTAAAGGAGAAGATCGACAGGATCGCAATCGGGACAGGAAAGAAGCAATGAGCAAGGTACCTGGTGGGCAGATGGCCGGGGAGAGGGCGTGGAGAGCTCGCCGCTCTTTGTGGGGCCGGGTGAATGACTGGGAATGGGGTTATCCTCTTCCTTTCCTAGATTCTCTTTCTATCTGTGCCTCAATGAAAATTATTTCATCCGATCTCAAACGATCGCCCCCAAACGGGGGAGGATCCCCTCCCTGTCTAGGGTTAGGGTGAGGGAGACTGGGGGATTTCCAGACGTTACAGGGCTCAAACCCTCGGTTGAGATTGATGCGCCGGGAGATAAGCAGCGAGCGACTTGCTCAGCCCAGAATGAGGAATTCCGTTTAGTGCGAGTGGGACATTATAAAATAGTGAATGGACGGACACCTGGGAGTGGGTGGGAGTAGTTTGTAGTAGGAATATTATTGGACGCGAGTTGGGGGGGGGGGAGCGTGTAGAAGAATTATGGTCTGGACGGACAGATCGAGGCCATAGAATTTTCAGAGCAGTGGGTGAATTGAATTTCTTACCGGTTGCGGAGTTTGACCTCGGTCTTCCACACGTTTGGCTTGTTTACTTGCCTGGGGCTCTCTACGTGAGCCACAGCACTGACTGAAAAATATTTTTTGCCAGTCTTGGGCACTGTCCCTCAGCTTTTGTACTCAAAGCTAGCGCTCTATCACTTGAGCCACTTCTACCTTTTTTTTTTTTACATAAATTCTAATTTTTATCCCCCTTTTTTTTCCATATAAATGCTTTTTATTAAGAAACAAGTACTCCCCCAAGGTATAACCCCTGTTTTCACTGTATTTGATGTTGGTATAATTTGTGGAGGGGAAAGGAAAAAACAAATCGTTTAAATAGGGATACAGGCGGACCCATTGCAACAATGAGATGTTCAAGAGGTCATGTCGAAAACGAACTTTACAACTTTGGCGCGCGGGGGAGGGGGGGAGGATGGGAAGGGATGGTAGGGGAAACAAAGGAGGAGGCATCAGTGCTTGATAAGAAATGTGCTCATAAGCCGGGCGCTGGTGGCTCACGCCTGTAATCCTAGCTACTCAGGAGGCTGAGATCTGAGGATCGCGGTTCAAAGCCAGCCCGGGCAGGAGAGACCGTGAGACTCCTATCTCCAATAAACCACCAGAAAACCGGAAGTGGCGCTGTAGCTCAAGTGGTAGAGCGCTCGCCTTGAGCTGAAGAGCTGAGGGACAGCGCCCAGGCCCAGAGTTCAAGCCCCACGACCGACAAAAAAAAAAAAAAAAAAAAAAAGAAATGTGCTCATTACCTTGCTCATGTAATTGTAACCCCTCTGTACGGTATTTTCACAATTAAAAAAAAAGAAACAAATAGTAACATGAACAAATTGTGTAGTATAACCAGTTAGCAGCAAAGTGAATCCCAGAATCATCATTGTCTTTCTTCAGTCTTGGCAATGGAAATAGAAACTTTAATTTTTGTTTATTTCTTATTTCCATTTCTCGGACACATCTGGCTCTTTGATGGATAATTGGAGATAAGGGTCTCACCATGGGGGTTGGCTTCAAGTTGTGATCCTGAGATCTCAGCTGCCCCAGTAGCTAGGATTACAAGCACCAGCCACTAGTGCCCAACTTGGGTGAATGTTTTATATAGATTAAACTGAATGGGCAGGGTTTCTGTTTTAGGATTTGTTGGAAGTGGGAGTTACTACTGAATTGTGGCAGCTACAAAAGTCCAGCATTAGCCTGCTAGTTCCCTTAAAAAAATGGTAGAGTAATAGAAAATGACTCACCAACTTGGTGAACTCTGGGGCTTTGGGTAAAGAACAGAGATTTTTTTTCCCTGTCCCAGGAAGTTCTCATTTCTAAGAGTCTTATTGGAGGGGAATAAGTCACATTACTATTATGTTTGACTAGTTAAGAGCTTTCGTCTTCAGAAGAATGTAGGCTCCTAGGTTTATTTTTTTCCTCTATATTTTAAAGCCAATATTCTGAAACCACAATTCTTTGAGGTGACAGAAAATTGATTTGTACTCATTTTATTTTCCTTATTTGTTTCTTAAGGTGGTAATTCGAAGATTACCTCCCACTTTGACCAAGGAGCAGCTTCAGGAAAATCTTCAACCTATGCCTGAGCATGATTATTTTGAGTTTTTTTCTAATGATACTAGGTAAAAAAAAAAAAAAAAAAAAAAGTGTGTGTGTGTGTGTAATGTAAAAAGTCTCCTTCCTTTTATTCTACTATAATCCCTTTGATTTGTTGAGCTAGTCTCCTTTAGTGTGACCATATTTGTAATACAGCTGGACTCATGCAAATACATTTACCTAATTGCTTTCCTCTCTGCAGTCTCTATCCTCATATGTATGCCAGAGCATATATCAACTTTAAAAACCAAGAGGACATTATTTTATTCAGGGATCGCTTTGATGGTTATGTGTTCCTTGACAATAAAGGTGAGTATAACTAGAAGAGTAGTTTGTTACTTTTATGTTTAAGAGACTGTGTATCACAATGTTTGCTCCATGCCTTTGTAACTAAGTAGGTCTTCTAAAACTCCTAGGTAATAAAATGTACAATATGTTGGGTTTTTTTTTTTCATGTTTAGCTTGTTCTTTATTTTATAATTTTTAGTTTTTGCTGGTCCTGGGACTTAAACTCAGGGCCTGGTCCCTGAGCCTCTTTGTGCTCAAGGCTAGCAGTCTACCACTTGAGCCATAGTGCCACTTCTGGCTTTTTTGAGTAGTTTATTGGGATAAGAGTCTCATGGTGACTTTTCTGTCTGGGCTGGCTTCAAACTGCAATCCCCAGATCTCAGCCTCCTCAGTAGCTAAAGGGCTAGAGGCATGAGCCACTGGCTATTTATAAATAAAATTATTGTCATAATTGATGTACAGAGGGGTGACAGTTACTTAAGTCAGGTAAAGAGTACATTTCTTTTTAATTTTTGTTGTTGTTGGTGGTGGTGGTCATGGGGCTTGACCTCTGGGCCTGGGCACTATCCTTGAGCTCTTCAGCTCAAGGCCAGCATTCTACCACTTGAGCCATAATGCCACTTCTGGTTTTCTGGCGGTTAATTGGAGATAAGAATCTCTCAGACTTTCTTGCCTGGGCTGGCTTTGAACCGTGATCCTCAGATTTCAGTCTCCTGAATACTAGGATTGCAGGTGTGAGTCACTGGCACCTGGCTTCTTTTTAAAATTTTATTTAGTTATTTATTTTACCAGTCCTCGGGCTTGAACTTGGCCTGAGGGCACATTCCTAATGCTCAAGGCTAGCACTCTACTACTTGAGCCAGAGCACCACTTCCAGCTTTCTCTGTTTATGTGGTGCTGAGGAATCAAACCCAGGGCTTCATGCATGTTAGTCAAGCACACTACCACTAAGTCACATTCCCAGCCCTACATTTCTTTTTGAGCAATGTCACCTCTTCCCTCATTATCTAAAGCTACATTCCCAGCCAGTCTTGGGTATTTTTATTAAACCATTATTTCTTTAGTTTGTTAAACAATAAAATTGCCACTATTTTCTTCTTGTGTTACTTTTTTTTGGCCCTGGATTAGCTCTGCTCTTTTGATTATTTAGTTTCAGCAGCAATACCGATAATGCTTTAAACTTGTATGGCAGGTTTTAAATATTTGCTTCTCATTGTGCTTCAAGGGTATAATTATTTAATTCCTATCTTTTAAGCTAACAGTTCTCAGTTGGTATACTGTTTAACATTCTCACAATATCTAGATCTCCCATTATGTGTCTATAGTGAAAAACAATTTCTATTTTATTTACTTATTTTTGTCAGTCATGGGACTTGAACTCAGGGCCTGGGTGCCATCCTTGAGCTCTGTTGCTCAAGGCTAGCACTCTACACTTGAAGCCACAGCACCACTTCTGGTTTTCTGGTGGTTAATTGGAGATAAGAGTCTCAGAGACTTTCTTACCCAGGCTGGCTTCCAACTGTGATCCTCAGATCTCCACCCCCTGAGTAGCTAGGATTGCAGGCATGAGTCACCAGTGCCAGGCTAAAAATTTCTATTTTAACTCACTATTTAATATCTGCTGCCTGCAGTATTTAGCCAGAGAATGTCTGGTAGGTGTGCTTTTTTTGTTTTGGTTTGTTTTCTCAGTAATTAGTTCTGTGAGGTCAAAATTAACTCTTGGTTAGGGAGTGTGCCATTAAAAGCTAAAAGATTGCCAGCTGTTTGTCCAACTTTTGGGATGTCTAGGGATTGAGTGTAGGGCCTCTTGAATGTTATTTGCCCTCTACTACAGAGCTATACCTATAACCCCAGGTTTAGTTCCTCTCAAACCAGTTATTTTACTATTTCCACGTTTAAAATTCCAGTAGGTAGCAATGGTTTCCTAGTTACTAAGTCATAAAATCAGAGGTGTGTTTACTTTTTGCATTTTTTATCCCTTACACAATATAAGTAATCTTATTGATTTATTGCTTTTATTGTCTTGTTCTCCTAGACTTAACTATATTTTCAGTACTTTATGTCCTTATTAGGTAATGTTTAGACAACTACTATTTCTTAACGAACAAGATTTTTCATTTCTGTATAATCCAGTCTGTTGCCGTGTGTGTGTGTGTGTGTGTGTGTGTGTGTGTGTGTGTGTGTGTGTGTGTGTGTGTGTGTGTTGTTGTTGTTGTTGTTGTTGTTGTTGTTGTTGTTGTTGGGGAATTGGGCAAGAGTCTACTACTGAGCTGCATCCTTAGCTTAATTTTTTTTTTTTTTTTGGTGACAGTACCAAGCTTTAACTTGGGGCCTTGAATTCTCAGAATTTTTTTTAAGTCACAGCTGGTACTCTACCACTTGAACCAGGCCTCCATCCCAGCTTTTTTCAGTTTGGAAGTAGAATTTCATGGACTTTGCTTTCTGGGCAGGCTTCCAACTGAGATTCTCCAGGTCTCATCTTCCTTAGTAGCTAGGATTACAGGTTTGAGCCACCAGCACCCAGCCAAAATTCTTTTATTTTGCCAGTTCTGGGGCTTGAACTCAGGGCCTGAGCACTGTCCCTAATGCTCTTTTTGCTCAAGGCTAGCACTCTACCACTTGAGCTACAGCACCCCTTCCAGCTTTCTCTGTTTATGTGGTGCTAGCCAAGCATTCTACCTCTAAGCCACATTCTCAGCCCAAAATTAACTCTTTTAAATGTACAGTTTGGGATTAAAAAAAACATTCATAGTTGTGTAAACATCACCATAATCTAGTTTTATAATATCACCCCAAAGAGAATCCCATACTTTTTTTTTGGGGGGGGGGTCCGGTCGTGGGGCCTGAACTCTGGGCCTGGGCATTGTCCCTCAGCTCTTCAGCTCAAGGCTAGCGCTCTACCACCTGAGCCACAGCACCACTTCCGGCTTTTTTCTTTTTTCTTATGTGGTGCTGAGGAATCGAACCCAAGGCCTCAGGCATGCAAGGCAAGCGCTCTACCACTGAGCCACCTTCCCAGCCCTGAGAATCCCATACTTATTAGTTGTCACTTCCATTTTCCAGCTCCAACTCTGGGCTACCACTAATCACCTTTTATGTATTTCTTCAGATTAGCACATTCTAGATATTTTAGTCTTTTTGTTCTTTCAGGTTGTTGTTATTTTGTTTGTTTGGGTTTTTTGTAGCATTGTGTTTTGAACTCAGACAGAACCTTGTGCTGGGTTTTTGGTTGTTTTTTTTTTTTTTGTCAGTCTTGGGGCTTGAACTGTGGGTCTGGGCACGGTCCCTCAGCTCTACAGCTCAAGGCTAGTACTCTACCATTTGAGCTACAGCGCCACTTCTGCTTTTCTGGTGGTTGATTAGAGATAAGAGTCTCATAGACTTTCCTGCCCAGGCTGGCTATGAACTATGATCCTCAGGTCTCAGCCTCCTGAGTAGCAAGGATTACAGGCATGAGCCACCAGCACCTACCTCACTCTACCTTTTGAGTCCTTTTTTATTTTCAGATAGAGTCTTACATTTTCACCAGGGCTGGCCTTTTATGCCTTTTGCATAGCTGGGATGACAGGTACATGCCACCAGGCCCAGCTTATTGGTTGACATGAAAGTCTCACCATTTTTTTTGCCAAGGCTAGCCTTGATTTTCCATCCTTATGATTTCTACCTCCCAAGTAGCTGGGACTATAGGCATGAGCCACTGTGTCTGGCTATAATGTATTTATGAGAATTAACTTCTAGTATTTCTTTTCACAAAGTAAAATGTCAGGGCTAAGAATGTTTCTCAAGTGGAAGAGGGCCTTGCCTAGCAACCTCAAGACCCAGAGTTCAAACCCCAATAATATCATCTCTCTCACACACACACACATCACATTTTAGAAGTGGAATCTAAATTTAGAGTATGTTTCTTTCCTACCAAGCATTATTTATTGTTTGTTTAAAACAAGAGTCTGGTTCTGTTGTACAGGCAGGCCTCAATCTCTTAGATTCAGGCAATCATCCTGCCTCAGCCATTCCTGCAGTTAAGACTACAGGCATGTGCCACTTATATCAGCTTGCTGATAATCAGTGTGAGTGTAGAGCTCTTTAGAAACATGTTGACTATAGTTGTACCAGTATGATCTGTGCCATTTTGGAGACTCCATTCAATGATTGTTATCAGAAGTGTTGCTGTGGCTTGAAGTGGTAGAGCACTAGCCTTGAGCAAAAAGTTCAGGGTGTGTGCCCAGGTCCTGAGTTCAAGCTCCATGACCAATAAAAAAAGGTGGGGCAGACTGGGGGCAGATGGCTCACGCCTGTAATCCTAGCTACTCTGGAGGCTGAGATCTAAGGATCGAAGTTCAAAGCCAGCCTGGGCAGGAAAGTCCCGAGACTCTCATCTCCAATTAACCACTAGAAAATCAGAAGTGGCACTGTGGCTCAAGTGGTAGAGCGCTCACCTTGAGCTGAAGAGCTCAGGGACAGTGCCCAAGCCCAGAGTTCAAGCCCCACGACCTCCAAAAAAAAAAAAAGTTGGGGCAATCAAATGATTGTTACCTAAAGTAGCCTAAAAAACAGTAGTTTGACCCCCTGCTATCCACTACCAACATTTTCTTTGTTAAAGCAAGTGTGATTTTTTTTTTTTCTAAACAGGTCAGGAATATCCTGCTATAGTAGAATTTGCACCTTTTCAAAAAGCTGCAAAAAGGAAGACTAAGAAAAGAGATACCAAAGTTGGGACTATTGATGATGGTACAGTATAACTCTATTGCCATGTTTTTTTTTTTAATTTTTATTTATTTTTTATTGTGAAAATACTGTACAGAAGGGTTACAATTAGATGGGCAAGATAATGAGTATATTTCTTATCAAGCATTGTAGCCTCCTCCTTTGTTTCCCCTTCCCATCCCTTCCCAGCCTCCCCCAGCCCCATGTTTGTTTGTTTTTTTAAAAAAAATAATGCCTCTGTGAGAGCCAATTGGACCCTAGTATTGAATTTAGAAAATATTCTAAGGAAAGCTTTGCTTGATTATTAGAATGAAGGCATATTCCCTGAAAAGAGATCCTGCTTAATTAGCTAGTGGCATTTCATTCCTTTGCCACTGACTGTTGGATAGTAAATCTTCATGGGTTTATTGAGTAGAAAATGATGGGGGAAACCAGATGTTCCAAAGTATAACAATTGTTCCTTACCTTTGTTAGGATTATTTAGGTGATTTTTTTTTTTTAATTTCTATTCCCTTTCTAAAGGGAAGGTTTGAGCTGTGATGGAAAAATTCCCATACCCAAGTAATTTCAGATAAAGTAGTTGAATTGCCAAGTCCTATTTTCTAGGCTTTGAATATATAGTTAAATTAACTGCATACAGTATTTTGTCTGAACAGAAATACAGGAACAGAGAAACTGGAATAATTTGCATTAAGGTAAAACCAGCTCCAGATTTTGAAATCCCTGTAACATTATGTCTATTAACTGGTGTATAACTTTTGTTATATTGGAGAAGGATTTAGTCTCAACATTTGATATATTTTAGAATCACCTGGTTGAATTTCCATCACTTCTACAATGGCTATTTTATTAAACAATAAAGACCCATTAACACAGCTGGTTATTGTTGATATCACAGACTGAGATACAGAAGACTAGATCAGGTGACATATTCAACAACAAGCGACAGAACAACTCAGATGTATTTCCCTCTATTGACAGAAGTGTCTAGAAGAGATCTCCAGGGATTACCATTATCTCCAGTGCCACTTATCTAGGACTTCCCTCTGTCCCTTTATCTTGTGAAACAACCCATTTTGCAATGTTGAGTTTACTTAGAGTGAAGTGTACCCATATAGAAGTTGCTTGTTTGATGCAAGGAGATATGACAAAGTAAGCAGGACTCAAGAAAAAAAGGACCTCTACTCAATTTGTCGTATCATATCTAAATGACTCCATGCTCTTGACCACATATATGGTATATATATATATGTGTGTGCACATCTGAGCGAAGCTAGGAGGAAGACACAGAATCAGAGGGAAACGGGAAACAGACAACAGAGAGGCCTATCAGCTGCACTGGACATTGATGAAAATGAACTAAGCAACTCAAAGGCAGCAGTGGGAGGGAAGGAATGAGAGGGAAAGAGGGAACAGCTTACACTAAGCAAAAGGAAAGAAATGTACATATCACCTGATATGGAAGAAATAGCTGTATTGTCAAAGCTCGTAGAATTCACAAACATTATAGACCATGATAAGGACAATTTACCTTGTGAAGGTTAAAATATATGTGATTTTAAGAATCACTATCCCACAATACTGTGAAATCTCAATAAATCTCAATAAAAAAGTTATTAAACAAAGAAATTCCTTCTTTGCTATGCCTAATACTCTCTGAAAGTTTCATAGCTAGTCTTTTCAGTTCTTCATATGTGTGGCTCTCTATTAATAGAAGCAGGAACCTTTCCTTCCATCCTCCTTCACTCCCTTCCTAACTCTCCCTTCCCTTTTCTCCCTTCTTCTTCCCCTCCCCTTCTTTCTTCTTTCTTCCTTTCCCTCCTTTCTATTCCTTCCTTCCCTTTTTTACCTTTTCCTTCCTTACCCTCTGTCTTTTAATTCCTTCTTCCCTCCTTTCCTCCCTTATTTTCCCCTTCCTTCTTCCTCTTTCCCTTCCCTTTCCTCCATTCTTTCCTTTTCCTCCTTTCTTTCTCTTCATTTTTCCTTCCCTCCCTTCCTTTTCCTTCCCTTTCATCCATTCCTTTCCTCTGTTCTTTTCCTTCCCCTCCCTCTTTTCTTTCTTTTCTTCCCTTCTTTCTTTCCTCCCTCTCTCCCTCCCTACCTCCCCATCTCCCTCATCTGTGGTACTGGGGGTTGGAACCAAGAGCCTCTTGCATGCTAACTAAGCAGGTAGTCTACCCCTGAGCTATACCCTAGCCCTGGATCAATGGCTTGGTACTACTGGGGTTTGAACTCAGGGCCTTGTGCTTACTAGTCAGGTGCTCTACTGCTAAGTTTTGCCTTCAGCCCTGGAATGGTGACTGTTTTTTTGGGTCCGGACGTGGGGCCTGAACTCTGGGCCTGGGCACTGTCCCTCAGCTCTTCAGCTCAAGGCTAGTGCTCTACCACTTGAGCCACAGCGCCACTCCGGCTTTTTTCTTTTTGCTTATGTGGTGCTGAGGAATCAAACCCAGGGCCTCAGGCATGCAAGGCAAGCGCTCTACCACTGAGCCATTTCCCCAGCCCCTGGAATGGTGACTTTTAAAAAGAATCTATAACATCCTGTTAGATATCTTTTTTTTTCCTGTTAGATATCTTCTAATGTGTGATGACTCATTTTTTCCTAACCCTGTGTTAACATCAGACTCCCATAGTACATATCAATAATAAGAGTTTGAAGATTAAGTGACCAATTATGTCCAAAATAGTGTATCTTGTATGAGTGGCTTGTTTTGTTTCAGTCTCCTATGAAGTAAAAAAAAAAAAAAAGTACCTTCTTTGACAAATAAGTATCCTAGGTAATAGGTTTTTTTTTTTTTTTTTTTGTTTAAAGTCTCTTTTCTGGCTTCTTAAATGATTATTTAGATCCAGACTACAGAAAATTTTTGGAGAGTTATGCCACAGATGAGAAAATGACATCCACTCCAGAGACATTGCTAGAGGAAATAGAAGCCAAAAACAGAGAATTAATAGGTAAGTAGGCAAAGGAATTAGAGTGATAGCTTTATCAGAATACTTGTCTATCTCCTACTTCGCTCACTTTGTCAGCTCTTTGATCTTAAGGATGTCACCCCTTGTCTGATAGTTCCTTGTACTCAAAGATGCATATGATAATATGGTAATACAGGATTATGAGAATGCACTGATAAGATGGGATGAATTAGCCAGGTGCTAGTGGCTCATACCTGTAATCCTAGCTACTCAGGAGGCTGAGATCTGAGGATCCAGGTTCAGAGCCAGAAAAGCCAATAAACTACCCCCAAAAAGCCAGAAGTGGAGCTGTCTCAAGTGGTAGAGCACAAGCCCCAGCACTGGTACAAAAAAAACTTAAAAAGATGACTATGATGCTTATCACATTGCTTAGAATGTTGAAAATTAAATATATATATATATATATATTATATAGGGGGGGGGGAGAGAGTGTGTGTGTGTCATGGAGCTTGAACTCTGGGCCTGGGTGCTGTCCTTAAGCTCTTCAACTCAAGGCAAGCTCTCTACCACCTGAGCCACAGTGCCACTTACGGTTTTCTGGTGGTTAATTGGAGATGAGTCTCACAGACTTTCCTGCCTGGGCTGGCTTTGAACCATGATCCTCAGATCTAAGCCTCCTGAGTAGCTAGGATTACAGGTGGGAGCCACTGGTGCCAGCTTTAAATATTCTTTTAAAGCTTGAGTTTTGCCAGGCGCTGGTAGCTCACATCTGTAACCCTAGCTACTCAGGAGGCTGAGATCTGAGGATTGTGGTTTGAAGTCAGCCAAGGCAGAAAAACCCTTATGAAGCTTATCTCTTCATTAACCACAGTAAAAGCCAGAAGTGGTACCATGGCTCAAGTGGTAGAGCACTAGCCTCAAACAAAAAGGAGCACTGGGACGGTGCCCAGGACTGACCAAAAAAACCCAACAACTCAAATTTTGGCCAGGTGCTAGTGGCTCACACCTTTAATCCTAGCTACTCAGGAGATCTGAGGATTGTGGTTTGAAACCAGCTGAGTCAGGAAAGCCGGAGAGATGCTTGTCCAAATAACCACCAAAAAAGCCAGATGTGGAGCTGTGGCTTAAGTGTAGAGTGCTAGCTTTCAGCACAAAAGCTCATGGACAGCACCCAGGCCTTAAGTTCAAGCCCCAGGACCCACACCAAAAAATAAAAACCCAAACCTCAAATTTTATTAATGAATGTACTCAGTAAGCCCATATCTGGCAACTTCCTTAAAATAAATTTGCAGAAGTAGAAATATGAGGTCAAAAGATTGGATATAATAGGCCATTTCCCACAATTCCTTTACAGATGAACAAATTTACACTATTACTAGTAAAACAAAAGAATGTCCTTGTACTTAATTCTCACCAACTGGAAATTACTCCCCCAAACTATTTAATGGGAATTTCCTCACTTTTTTCAAAACTGTTTTCAGCATGTATTATTAAAATGGAATACTGTAAAACACTTACTTTGAATAATACCTTTGTGTACTTCTGCCTAAGGGGTGTAGTTTTCTGGTCTTGGGTGGGTGGCAGGGAATATCAGAAAATGGAATCCTTTTCAGGAGTTCCTAAGCATTATTAATAATCTGTTTATATTTATGTAGCCAAAAGAACAACGCCACTTTTGAGCTTTCTGAAAAACAAGCAGGTAAAATGTTCTGTTTTTACAGTTTTTGTAATTCTTTATTAATTCATTTTCTATTAGTATTATAAGAGCTTTGTGATCCTGTAGGAGAAATACCTGGGCTTTTTTCCCACAATTATTCTTTAAAGACTTGGTTCCTTAATCTCACTCTTTTGCCCTTTCCTTCAAGCTGGTTGTGGAACCAACAATTCACTGTGCAAACCTAGAGAGTCCTTTGTTTGTCCCAAAGACACTCTTTACCTTCTGAAAGCCTCAGGAAATATAGCAGGGCAACAGTGGAAGACTGATTCCAGAAAGTCCTAGACTTCACTCTCTTTCCTTTTCTGAGTGGGATAGGGGTTAAAGAGGTTGCAGAAAATAGGAAGAAAAATCCTGTTTAGTGGGTGTACACCATGCCTTTGGGATTAGTTATTTTTTTGTTGGTAATTATTTTATTTGTAAACTTGTATTGCTGTTTCTTTGTAGAGAATGAGAGAAGAGAAGAGGGAAGAAAGAAGGAGACGAGAAATAGAAAGAAAACGACAACGAGAAGAAGAAAGAAGGAAATGGAAAGAAGAAGAAAAACGGAAAAGGAAAGATATTGAAAAGCTAAAGAAGATAGAAAGAGTTCCAGAAAGAGAAAAAATAAAGGATGAACCAAAGATCAAGGTATGAAAATAATTGAAATTGACTGCATGTTGCTGAAAACTGCACATACCTATTACTTTATGCATGTACCTTGTGTTTTTGTAAATGAGATTTTTGTTTTGATTTTCTTTAGACAGAGGGAGTATACAAATAGAAATCTTTATTCTAGCAAGAGTCTTAATTATTTAAATTTGGGATTATTTAAAAGGATTTAAGTATTTTACATGATGTTACTGCTCAGTGCAGATATAGTTTTAATCATTGAAAATGTGTACTGCTTGGTTTATTAGTTTCTCAGTTGCTAGTAAATGAGGGCTTAAGGCAGGCTTGCGTGAAATGTGGGATTTAATTCAGCTTTTCCTTCATAACTGATACATGAAGTTGCCTCATCTGTTTGTTTTCCACTGTCTTCAGGTACACAGGTTTCTGTTACAAGCTGTGAATCAGAAAAATGTAAGGACCAAGTACATGATGATACAGAGCACCTAGTATCATGTCATACACACAGGTCTTAGCTAAAAAGTCCTTTTGGTGGTGGTGGTAGTTTTGACGCCTTCAGACTGACTTGGGTCTTCTGAAAAGCTGAGCTATTTTAAATTCTTAGCTTTATTTAAAAGGAGGCCCAAGTGACTTCCTGATGCTCTGCTGTGTACCCAGAATAAACAGCTAGAAGACAATCAGGTCTACCCTTTCTTATTTGCCTGTCCTAACTGGCTGCCTTGTGGGAGGACTAGGGATATATACCCTGCATAGTGTGCTCTTTCCTTCTCACATGACTCCCACATTATCTTCTTGCATCTAGCTTAGAATCTGTGAGCAACAGATTCTGATTAGCGCACTGCATGTAGGAAGAGGAAAACCTTGTAGGATGATCCCAACTTGGCTGCTTCCTGGGGAAATACTAATACTTAGTACCTCACAAAGTTAAAGATGGCTCCAAGGTCCCCTTTTACTCCTTGAAAATTCAGCAGTTTATGTGAGGGTTCCCAGAGCCTCTATGGGACTCATTATGGGTACTAAGGGATATAAGGGAGAGGGACATTTTCCATCCTGATTACTTCTAGTAATGTCTCTGTTCACCATACTACAAGCAATTTGACTTGCTATTCTTAATGATCAGCAAGGCAGAAAGTAGAACCAGCCATATTATTCATTCATTCATGTTCTTATTAGAATGATGAACATCTTGCCTTCAAATACAGATGTTCATTAGAGAAATAAGAACACTTTTCGATGAAACCTGCACATGTTCTCATTTTAACATTGGTGCCTTCTTTGTGTCCAGTATAGAGTCCCTCTTGCACTGGCTGTCTGTGTGCTGAAATACATCCTGCTTAAATCTCAATGCTTTTCCTTTTGCTTTGTAACTTGCATGATGCCTGATGAACTTGTATGATGCCTTTATTCTGAGACTTAAAAATTCTTCTACTTTGCCTAAGAGTCTCTCTGACTGTCCACTTAGTGGGGTATTCAAGCATTTATAGCAGTGATTTGACAATGGGATTTTTGAACATGTATATGGCATTAAGTAGATTTCCTATGCCATAGGGATGTTAATTCACCATTATGTTGTTTAAGGAATCAAATGTGAACTAATAATGTTATTCATCTCTAATGATAATTCTACCAATATAAATATGTTATTCTCAGACTCAAGGCAAAATTATTCCTGCAATGGATCTCTCCTTTGGTGACCAAGGTGTCATTCCAAGAACATACAAAGACAGTCCAACGGTAATGAGCTGCCTCGCGTTTTAAATTTGTGGGATATTTTCCCAAGAGTTATTTATCTAAAACATGCTGGTGTGCTAGAGAAGCATACTTGGAAGTATGCATTGGCTCACTTAAAGATTAACTTGTAGCCGTGCCTGGTGGTTCATACCTGTTATCCCAACACTTGGGAGGCAGAGGCAAGAAGATTATGATTTCCAAAGCCTGGGCTAGTGGACCAACTCTGGAACATACACACACAAATGCTGTCTCATTTAAATCCAAAGGAGTCTTGATCCTATTGCCACAGGTGATTAAATCACTTCCTTTGGGTAGATAGTAGTTTCATATTAGAGCATCTTTTTAGTATTTACTGTTCTCATGTACTAGTTGTTCACCTGAAAATGTAAGACTAACTACAGAGATAGGGGGCTTCTAGAGACTAAATGTTAAATATGTAGTTTATTATTTGTTAGAGTCAGAAGACACTGTTCTACTCTTCAAAATAAAATTAAACATATTTTCTTTAAAGCTGCTCAAGAAACCAGAAAAAGGAGATGAAAAGGAATTGGACAAAAGAGAAAAGCCTAAAAAATTAGACAAGGAGAATCTGAGTGATGACAGAGCCAGTGGGCAGAGTTGCATGCTGCCCAAACGACCTGAGAGTGAACTAAAAGATGAAAAGCCAAAGAGGTCAGTCAGTTGTAAAGGATTCTTGGGTGTGTTTGATTAGTATGTGCTACTTTTGATTTTATGTCCTGGATGTGTGCCTTAATCAAGACAGACTGTTTGCCTGTTGTGGTATAATTGGGAATCTGAAGCAGGAAGATTACCAGCTCAAGGCCAGCCTGGGCTACATAGTAAGACCCAGTTTTAAAAACGAGATAAACTGCTGGGCTCCCCATGGCTCATGCCTATAATCCTAGATACTTACAAGGTTGAGATCTGAAAATCATGGTTCGAAGCTCACCTGAGCAGGAAAGTCCTTGAACTCATCTGCAATTAAATACCAAAAAGGTGGAAGTGGAGTTGTAGCTCAAGTGGTAAAATGCTAGCCTTGTGCAACAAAGCTCACAGACAGTGCCCAGACTCTGAGTTCAAGCTCCAGGATCAGCACCAAAATAATAATAATAAATGAATAATAATAATAATAATAAATGAATAAACTGTAAGATGAGGGACTAGGAGGAAGAGTTCCAAATATTCTAGTATGTTAATTTGGGTGTATGACTTTTGACTTTTGTTTACTAAAACAGTAGTTTTTACTCTGCTCGTTGCAGTGGCTAAGTGAGTGGCACAGTGTTTCTGCATTTGTGGTCACATGATGTTCAAGGGGTCAGCTTTGTTCCTCTCACAGACTTGAAGAGGAGAGTTGCAGAGACTACAGGGACCGAGATTATGAACGAGAACAGGAGCGCATGCACCGAGAAAGAGAGAGACTGAAGCGTCAAGAAGAGGAGCGCCGTAGACAAAAGGAACGCTATGAGAAAGAGAAGTCTTTCAAAAGAAAAGAAGAAGAGCTTAGAAAAGAGAGAGAAGCACTTCGGGATAAAGGAAAGAAGGTTGAAAGTACTGAATCACTAAGCAGCTCAGAAAAAAACGAAAAGAAAGAGGAAGTGGTTAAGAGAGATCGGATAAGAAACAAGGTGCTGCTTTATGTTAAATTTGTTCATTTTCTTGGGGATTTTTTCCCTCTTTCTGCAAGTGTAAAGGGAAGGTCTAGATCACAATTTATTGTAAAAAATCTTAAGCTTGCTCACTGTCCTGCCTGCATTGATTTTCTCCATCCTTCTGTACTGAGACTTGAACCCAGGGTCTAGTAAGCATTCTCCTACTGAGCTATGTTCCCAATAGCTATTACAGAATTTTTAAAAGAGGAACTTGAAAAATCAACTGGCTTTTTTTTTTCTATCTTGGCTGGGTTCTTTTGTTGACTGTAGAATTTCAGGCATTTGTACCAGGCACCAGTGGCTCCATGCCTGTAATCCTAGCTACTCAGGAGGCTGAGATCTTAGGATCGAGTTTTGAAGCAGGAAAGTCTGTGAGACTCATATCTCCATTTAACCACAAAAAAACAGAAGTAGAGCTGTGGCTCAAATGGTAGAGCACTAGTCTTGAGCACAAAAGCTCAGGAACAGCACTCAGGCCCAGAGTTGAAGCCCCAGGACCCACACAAAATAAAGGAATTTCAGGCATTCACTAAAGTTGCAGGAGTAGACTGTGATATAATACACTCCCAGTCTCATCACCAGACTTGAATAATTATCAACTCATTACCAGCTTGCTTGCTTTCTGCTCTACTTTATCCCTACCTCTACTGGGTTATTCTCATGCAAATCCTGGATATACTTAAAAATATGAAGCATTTAATACTTAAATACTTCAATGATAGAAAGTCTCTGTTTTTGCTGGTTTCTCTCTTTTCTTTTGTAGTACTAAAGATTGAACCCAGTGTCTTTTCTTTCTGATTTTGGTGCCAGTACTTGGGCTTGAACTAAGTAGCTAAGTAGCCTTGTTGTCCTGTTTTGTTTTACTTCAGGATCGTCCAGCAATGCAGCTTTACCAACCAGGAGCTCGAAGCCGAAATCGACTTTGCCCTCCAGATGACAGCACCAAGTGTGGAGATCCAACAATAGAAAAAAAGCAGGAAAGTGCTATTAGCCATAGAAAAGAAGGAGGAGAAGAGTGATCAGTGTGAATGGTCAGAGGTGTCCTGACTGTTGAGGCAGCCAAAGACCATGTATTGAGCAATCCAGAAATGCCTTCAGGGCAAAGGAATGGAGAGCAAGGAAGAAAGGGGTCTTTGTGCTGATGGGGTACACTGAGGAGGAGTATGTTTTGTGTCAAAGCAGGAATCAGGTTGCAGGCTCAGAATTGTAAGTAAAATTGCATCGAGGTTTTTTTTTTCAGTTTCTACAAATTTTAAGTTTCAGAAAAAGGATGGTGAAGGCATGAATTGCAATTTTTAGGTGCAAAGTGTCAAGTGAGGATTTCATTTTGTAAGACTGTATGACACGAGGGAAAAAAAAAAAGCTGGTTTTGAAATCAACTGATGTTTTTAATCCTGGATTGAATTTTCTTAGTTCAAGTGGAACAGTTACTTTGAAGTCTCATTAGATCTAATTTATTGCGTTGTTGGTGATACCTGTTGCCTTTTCATTGTATAGAAGCAACAAGTGTGTAATTGTAGTACAAATACAGTGACTGATAAAACAAATTTTATTGATGTAAAATTTTAAATAAGTTATGTTTCGTCTGTATTCTAGGGTCCAAATATCTTAGCGTTAGTTTTGTTTACATAAATGAACTTAGCACCAATAGTATTTTTAAGCATCTCATTTCATCTTTAACATTTTTCTATTAATAGGTAAAATGTAGTCCTTGATTGGTTCTTGACAGTACAGTCTTTGTTTAATCTTAGGTCTTCTGATTTGAGTGCATACCCGTATCCAGGAAAAAAAAAAAAACTGCACCAGTATCTGTTCCTGTTAAATTGCAGTTTTTTGTTATAGCTTGTTTTATATTGTTGACAATAAATATGAACATCATTCAACTATGAAGCTAAGTGTATTTACTTTTCATATATCTGGGGTTGGAACAGCACTCTGGCCTCAAGCATGGTAAGCACATTCTCCATTACTGAGTTACACCACCAGCCCCATATTAGATGTGTTTAGTAGCCATTGGTATGTGTTTGTGCACACACACATGTGTGTACTGGTACTAGGGCTTGGATTCAGAGCCTAGACTCTCTCCCTTAGCTTTTTCCACTTAAGGCTGGCACTCTACCACTTGAGCCACAGCTCCACTTTAGGCTTTTTGGTAGTTAATTGGAAATAAGAGTCTCATGAACTTTTTTTTTTCTTGTCAGTCACAGGGCTTGAACTCTGAGCCTGGGCCCTGTCCCTGAGCTCTTTAGCTCAAGGCTAGCACTCAAGGGGTACCTTGAGCCACAGCACCATTTCTAGTTCTCTGGTGCTTTATTGGAGATAAGAGACTCACAGATGTTCCTGCCCAGGCTGGCTTTGAACCATGATCCTCAGATCTCAGCCTCCTGAATAGATAGGATTATAGGCAGGAGCCACCAGCACCTGGCTGAGAAGACTAATGTTTAAAAGTCAAAAAGGAAGCCAGGCACTGGTGGCTCATGCCTGTAATTATAGTAATGCTGGAGGCTGAGATCTAAGTCCATGATACTTTTTTAAGCTAGTCTTGAGGCTTGAACCCTAGGCCTGAGGGCTGTCCCTGAGTTTTGTTGGTGGTGGTGGTGGTGGTGGTGGTGGTGGTGGTGGTGGTCAGTCATGGGGCTTGAACTCTGGGCTTAGGCGCTTTCCCTGAGCTCTTCAGCTCAAAGCTAGTACTCTACCACTAGAACCACAGCAGCACTTCCACTTCTCCGGTGGATTGGAGATAAGAGTCTCACCCCTGCCTGGGCTGGCTTTGCACCATGATCCTTAGATCTCAGCCTCCAGGGTAGCTAAGATTACAGGCATGAGCCCCCAGGGCCCGGCTCCCTGAGCTTCTTTTGCTTAAGGCTAGTGCTCTACCACTTGAACCACAGCACCACTTCCTGCTTTTTCTGTTTATGTGGTACTGAGGCCTAGAACTCTAGGATTCATGTATGCTAGGATGCATTCTACCACTAAGACACATTCCTAGCTCCCATGAGACTCTAATCTCCAAAACCACCAGAAAACTGGAAGTAGCGCTGTGGTTTCAAAGTGGTAGAGCGCTACCCTTGAGCAAAAAGAGCTCAGGGACAGTGCTCAGGCCCTGAGTTCAAGCCCCATAACTGACCAAAGGATAAAAAAGAAAAGAAAGAAAAAAAAAAACCTCAAAATTGGGTGCCAGTGCTTCATACCTATAATCTTAGCTACTCAGGAAGCTGAGATATGAGGATCACTGTTCAAAGCAGGAAAGTCTGTGAGGTTCTTATCTCCAATTAACCACAAAAAGCCATAAGTGACTGTGTTGAAAATGAACTACAGGGACTGGGAAGGTGGCTCAGTGGTAGAGTGCTTACCTTGCACGCATGAGGCCCTGGATTCAATTCCTCAGCACCACATAAGCAGAAAAAGCTGGAAGTGGTGCTGTGGCTCAAGTAGTAGAGTGCTAGCCTTGAGCTGAAGAGCTCAGTGATAGAGCCCAGACCCAGAGTTCAAGACCCATGAATGACAAAAAAAAAAAACCTATAAAGAAAATTAACTATACAACTTGTGAGTGGGGAGAGGAGGAAAAAACTAGGGGTGAAATAAATGTGCTCCTTACCTGACTTATGCAAGCATAACCCTTCTCGACTATCACCTTTATAATTACAAAAAAATAAGCTATAAGTGGAGTTGTGGCTCAAGTGGTAGAATACTATCCTTGTGCAAAAAGAGCCCAGGGACAATATCTGTGTCCTGAGTTCAAGCTCCAGGACTGGTACAAAATAGAAAAGAAAACTCAAGAGACAGGATGAATTCCCAGGGGAAGTGATAACCACTAGTGTAGCTTTTTTGTAAAAGTGGGTGAAGTAGGAGCCCAGGAAGATGTCAGAGTTGGCCTTAGGAGAAAAAACACTTCTGTGTCTGCTTTCTATCAGGAGTTGGCACTGCTTGCGTCCTTGCCCATTTGGTTAGCAGCTAGGTGAAGTTGTTTGCAGCAGCTTAGCACCTTCCTCTTTTGTTCTACTTGCCTTGCCAGTCCAGCTCTGAGTAAAGCATGCTTCCCCACCTGAATACTCCGTTTCTTTTTCTTTTTAACTGTATTTTTTTTTGTCTTTTTTTTTTTTTTTTGGTACTGGGGATCGAACCCAGGACGTTGCACTTGCTAGGCAAGCGTTTTGCCACTGAACTACATCCCAGCCCACCTCCAAGTTTCTTCCACTTCTTCCTTCCTGTCCTGGGGCTTAAACTCAGGGCCTGGGCACTATCCCTGAGCCTCTTTGTGCTCAAGGCTAGTGCCCTATCACTTGAGCCACAGCACCACTTCCAGCCTTTTCTAAGTAGTTTATTGGAGATAAGAGTTGCATGGACTTTCCTGCTGGGGTTGGCTTTGAATGGTGATCCTCAGATCTCAGCCTTCTGAGTAGGTAGGATACAGGAGTGAGCCACCTGTGCCCAGCTCTTCCACTCCTTTATTCACTTGGCAAACAAGCATTTCCTAAGCACTTGCTATATATGTCAGGTCCTGGGGGTCAAGGACTCAAGTCCTTGTTCTCAGTGAACTCATGGTCTAATGTTGTCGAGAGAAATAGAAAGAATAAAAGCATGGGCTGGGAATGTGGCTTCATGGTAGAGTGCTTGCTTAGCATGAATGAAGCCCTGGGTTCAGTTCCTCAGTAACACACAGACAGAGAAAGCTGAAAGTGGCACTGTGGCTCAAATGGTAGAGTACTAGCCTTGAGCAAAAGAAGCTCAGCGACAGTGCCCAGGCCCTGAGTTCAAACCCAGGACTTGCAAAAAAAAAAAAGTGACACTATGCTTAAAAAAAAAAGTATGGGGCTGGGAAGGTGGCTCAGTGGTAGAGCGCTTGCCTTGCATGCCTGAGGCCCTGAGTTCGATTCCTCAGCACCACATAAGCAAAAAGAAAAAAGACGGAAGTGGCGCTGTGGTTCAAGTGGTAGAGTGCTAGCCTTGAGCTGAAGAGCTGAGGGACAGCGCCCAGGCCCAGAGTTCAGGCCCTACGACCGGGAAAAAAAAAAAAAGAAAGTATGGATGCTCGACAAGAAATGTACTCATTGCCTTACTTGTAACTGCTACAACCCCTCTGTACAGCATCTTTACAATAAAATAAAAAAAAATTTAAAAAGTATGGGAGCTGAGTGCTAGTGGCTCATGCCTATAATCCTAGCTACTCAGGAGGCTGAGATCTGAGGATCAGGGTTCAAAGCCAGCCTGGGCAGGAAAGTAGTCCATGAGACTCTTATGTCCAATTAACCACCAGAAAAGCAGAAGTGGTGCTGTGGCTCAAGTGGTAGAGCGATTGCCTTGAGCTGAAGAGCTGAAGGATAGCGCCCAGGCCCAGAGTTCAAGCCCTACAACCAAAAAAAAAAAGGAAAGTGGTTTTTTAGGAGTTTTCTTTGTTGTTGTTTTGTTTTTATTAGAAAAGCCAGGTACCAGTGGCTCTCAACTATAATCCTAGCTACTCACAAGGCTGAGATCTGAGGATCTGTGTTCAAAGACTGTAAGGTCCTCAGACCTCAGCCTCCTAAGTAGCCAGAATTACAGACATAAGCCACCAGTGCTGGGCTAATATTGGCTCTTGAATGAATAAAAATCCAAGTTAAGAGGCCTGCAATTGGGCTGGGAAGGTGGCTCAGTGGTAGAGCGCTTGCCTTGCATGCCTGAGGCCCTGGGTTCGATTCCTCAGCACCACATAAGCAAAAAGAAAAAAGCCGGAAGTGGCGCTCTAGCTCAAGTGGTAGAGTGCTAGCCTTGAGCTGAAGAGCTGAGGGACAGCGCCCAGGCCCAGAGTTCAGGCCCCACGACCGGACCCAAAAAAAAAAAAAAGAGGCCTGCAATCTCACTTCAATTAGATCAAGTTATGTATATGAAGAAGTTAGAAGTGTGGCTTGGTGGTACAGCACTTGTCTACCCTAGCTTGCAGCAGGCCTTAGGGTTCAGCATAGCTAAATAAATAAATAAATAAGGATAGTAGTCTAAATTTAAAAAATCGGAGTTAGCATAATAAAATTCTGTTAAAATGGTCATCACTAAGTTGATAATGGTAACTATTAAGTCAAAATGCATCATATGTGTTTTGTAGTATCTCTGTAGATTTAAAGTTCCAGCATCCATGGGCTGGGAAGGTGGCTCAGTGGTAGAGCGCCCTGGGTTCGATTCCTCAGCACTACATAAGAAAAAAGAAAAAAAGCCAGAAGTGGCGCTGTGGCTCAAGTGGTAGAGCGCTAGCCTTGAGTTCAGGCCCGCGACCGGAACCAAAAAAGTTCCAGCATCCAGTTGCTGAAGGAGAATATGAGACCGAATCTCGTTAGCGCTATCTCATAATCACCTGCCTTCATTTATTTATTTATTTTTGGTCGGTCGTGGGGCTTGAACTCTGGGATTGGGCACTGTCCCTGCATTCTTCAGCTCAAGGCAAAAGCCCTACCGCTTGAGCCACAGCACCACTTCCAGTTTTCTAGTGGTTTATTGGAGATAAGAGTCTCACGGGCTTTCCTGCGGGGGCTGGCTTTGAACCATGATCCTCAGATCTCAGCCTCCTGAATAGCTAGGATTACAAGCGTGAGCCACGGGCGCCCGGCTTTGCCTTTATTTTTTTTTGTACGTGACTGGGGCTTGAATTCTGGGCCTCAAGCTCTCCCAGAGCTTCTTTGCTGAAGGCTGGCCTTCCAGCACCACAGCCAGATCCCCACTTTCTGATTTTTTGTTAGTCAAATAGAGATAAGAGTTTCGAGGATTCTGTCTGCCTGGGGCTGGCTTGATAAGTTGATCCTCAGATCTCAGCCCAAGTATAGCTAGGATTGCAGGCATTAAGCCAATCATATTCAGCTTCAATTGTAATATAAGATAAAGCCATCCAAGATTTGAGGAGTTTTTTTTGGGTGGGGGTAGGAATGGTTTTATGTTTTGTTTTTTGGGTTTTTTTTTGGGTCCGGTCGTGGGGCCTGAACTCTGGGCCTGGGCGCTGTCTCTCAGCTCTTCAGCTCAAGGCTAGCGCTCTACCACTTGAACCACAGCGCCACTTCCATCTTTTTTCTTTTTGCTTATGTGGTGCTGAGGAATCGAACCCAGGGCCTCAGGCATGCAAGGCAAGCGCTCTACCACTGAGCCACCTTCCCAGCCCTGGGGGGGAGGGGAGATGGTTTTTGAGATGGGTTATATAGCTAAGATTGACTTTGAACTCAAGAACTTCCTGCTTTTTCATCCCTAGAATTTTGGGATTACAGGCCAGATCCACTATGCCCGGTTTATCTATGGTTTCTGTAACACCACTGTGGTATGTTGCCTACATCCTAAATAAAAAGGGTGAAACTTAATTTAGTGGAAATACAACTAATGGATTTTTCTTGTTCAAGTTTATAGTGTGAACTGTGTAGATGGACTTTTTTTTGACGGTCATGGGGTTTGAACTCTGGGCTTGGGCTCTATCCCTCAGATCTTCAGCTCAAGGCGAGCGCTCTACCACTTGAACCAAAGCACCACTTCCGGTTTTCTGGTGGTTAATTGCTTAGGAGTCTCACTCTCAGACTTTCCAGGTCCAGCAAGCCAGCGATCCTCAGACCGCAGACTCCTGAGTAATCTAGGATTACAGGTGTGAGCCACCTGAGTACAGCTTTAGATGAAGTCTTTATCTCAGATTTTAAAACCTTGCCTTGGGCTAGGTGCATGGCTTGCCTAGCAAGCCTGAGGCCGTAAATTCAAACCCCAGTACGGCCAAAAGGGAAAAAAAGTATCCTACAGGGAAAACAAAAACAAAGACACAACCCTGGCACAATATCTGAGATATCTGCAAAAATAAAAATACTCGTTTCTTAGTTTTTCCTTTTGCAGTGCTGGTGATGGAACCTAAGCTTTATTGTATACTAGCTCATCAAAAATTTCTGTCGTTAAGCTACTTCGTCAGCTCTAGTTTTGTTTCTAAAATGGGAAGGAAAAGATGAAAAAGGGTAATACTAACAAAAATACTAACGTCACAAGCTGGAGGCCAATCTGGGCTACATATTGAGTTTCTATTTAAAAAGGAGAGAAGGGCTAGAGAGAGGTTCCCTCAAGCGGCAGTGACGGCCTAGCAAGCTGCGAAGTCCAAGTTGAAACACTAGCACTACCACCCCAAACCTTCCAAAGAAAAAGTAAAGCTGTTTCCGCCAGCCACCTCCTCCCGGCCTGCCTAGCAGGGCGGGGCTTCCTCCTAAGCAAGGGTCAAAGTCGCCGGCGCATACAAGTGACGTAAGCACCCTACGAATTGGTCCCACCCATTCAGTGCCCCACTTCCCCAGCTTTCGGAAAGGCGTCCACTTTACCACTTATCACCGGTTGTGTACTCCACCCATGAAAACGGGGTCCTAGAATCCTGACAGGACCCGAGAACCTACTTACAGAGGTGAAGTCAAGAGAGGGTTCCCAACGGGCCTACGGAGGGCGCAGGCGCAGAGGATGGGGAGGTGCTGGACGCTGACTAGTGACGGTACCCATAAGCTCCACCTCCAGTTTCTAAACTGGTTCTTCCGGCGGCTTCTGGTCTTTTCAGCTTTTGTTCGCCATCGTGGTTACTGTGCCTTCCAGAGCTTCCCATCATGGTAAGTCTCATCTGCCTCCATCGGCCCCAAGGTCGCTCCCCGAGACCCGAGGCTTCCCCCGGCCCGCCGAGGCTGGCACGGAACATCAAAGGGCCCGAGCATTTTAAAGGGTTTTTCAAGAGAAGATAAAATTTCCCTTTTTAAGTCGCTGGCCTACCGGGAAGCAAGTGAGGGACGGGACAGGGCAGCATTGGCGCTGTGCATCCGCAGGGCTGTGTGAGAGCCACAATGCTTCCCTTCCACCCGATCCAGTTGATTCTGGGCCAGGAAGAGATCTAGGGACCACCCTGAGAAATTGTGTCCAAATCGCAAGCTGCCCTTAGCATGATGTGTACCAGGTAATGAGATGACAAGCTTAACCCTTTGTAGAGGTTTGACTAGGGGCTTTGGGCAAGGACATGGTGCGAACCTGAAGTAAATGTCAACAGCACAACGATTGCTTCCCTCTGACAGTTTACTCTGGTAGTAAATACTATGTAGTTGCTACCAAAGGGTTAGGCAATAGGCACAGAAATGTCTTTTTATATATAAAAAAAGAGGGCTGGGAAGGTGGCTCAGTGGTAGAGCGCTTGCCTCGCATGCATAAGGCCCTGAATTCGATTCCTCAGCACCACATAAACAGAAAAAGCTGGAAGTGGCGCTATGGCTCAGGTGGTAGAGTGTTAGCCTTGAGCTAAAGAGCTGAAGGACAGCTCCCAGGCCTACAGTTTAAGCCCCACAACTGGCAAAAAGTAAAAAAAAAGGTGAGCAAGTTTGGAGATTTTCTGAATGTCAAGGACTTTGCAGCACTTTTAATTATCCCGGCAAAGTCTCTTATTTTATGAAATATGGCACTGGAGTTCATTGGCTTGCAAGTAATTGGTTGTCCTGGTTAATCCTAGGTATGTTCTTTCCAGTTAAATCGAGTTCCCTGGCCCTATATTCATTCCAGCTGATCTGAACCTTTGGGTGAGGCAGGGTAGAGACAGAATGTGTCGCTGGAGCAGAACAGGCTTGGGTTTGATTCCTAGGGCTGCACATTATACTCTTGATTTTGTGCAGGTTGTTCAAGCTCCCTTGTTCTTTTGCTTAAATGATGGAAAATAAAGTGTCTGCTTCCGGAAGAGTTATGAGAACCAAAGGAGGCTGAGTAATTTAGTATTGAAGATTTTCTTGGCTGTACATCTCAATCAATGAAATATTTGTTAGACTTCAGAGTTTGTAGCTTTTGAATCCTTTGTACAGGCACTATTGTCACGCTATAAATGGGTTGTTTCTCCTGCAGTCTTCTCACAAGACTTTCAGAATCAAGCGGTTTCTGGCCAAGAAACAAAAGCAAAATCGCCCCATTCCCCAGTGGATTCGGATGAAAACTGGTAACAAAATCAGGTAAGACCCTTGAGCTGTGTTTGTTAAATTTACAGATTACTTTCTTTAGGGTTTACCCAATTGAAACTTAGACGTAATACAGTCAATCCTCTGCCATTCTGAAGTTCCCTGGTTTTTAATGGTCTTCCTTGGTTTGTACACCACATCCAGCCTCACACTTTGTGAACGTAGGGGTAGACACTGCTCCAGTCCTTACTAATTTCCTGGTTAAGTCTAAACTAGAGCTCTGGAAGACTTATTTTACCTCACTGTACATCCTGGTGAGAAGACCCAATTGGTTATCCTTTCTAAAGATTGGGAGAGTGACCTCTACTGGAGGAGTTGAATGTATGCATTTGGAAGAAAGTAGCTATGGGGGACCCTTCTCCCCAGCTCTTAGGACCAGGTAGGCCTTGAGGCAAAACCTTTATTTCCAAAGTACTTTGGGGGCTGCCTTTGCAGAATGAGCTTAGCAGGTAGAACCTTCTTTTATTTGGCTTAACTTTTGTCTTTTGGTGTTGGGAATCCAACCAAGGGCATTGCACTTGCCTAGCAAGTGCTTTGCCACTAATGAGAAGAGTTTTCTTTAGCTTTGAAGTTGTGCTTCTGAGATTAAAAAATGAAACATGGTGTAGTTAAGTAGAACACTGCTGTTGTCAATGTTAGCCACATGCATTTGGTTTTCTGTCGGCTATTTGGGGAACCAAGGTCTTGTACATGCTGAGTGCTGCACCATAGATCTACAACCCCTTAGCCCTTCTTTCAACTTGTAAAATGAATCAAAAGCAGGTTGCAATTACAGTACTTCCTTCATCTTGTGGAAGTATTGCCATTATCCTGCTGAAAGAAAAAACATGTTGATTGTTTCTGAATTTTGCCTTTCTGAAGGTAAAATCATAACAGCTTGACATGGACATTTAGCTTGTTTTAAGCTCTGCAAATCACTCATTCTGGAATAAATACGCAAGGAAGGTTTATTTGTTTTAAAGATAGTGTGTGAAGAATGTTGGCATCTGTATCAGTTCTGTTGAATCAAAAGTGGGTGAGGAGCTAGGCTATCTTTGTGATTTCTGGCTTCCTTCTGTGCAGATACAACTCCAAGAGAAGACACTGGAGAAGAACCAAGCTGGGTCTGTAAGGAATTGCTTCAGATGCCCACATATTTATGCTCTACCATGAACCAGTCAAGCTGAAACGTCAATACTGCCTGGACTGACAGTTGGGCATTTTTTAAATTGATTTTTCTTTGGTTATTTTAATAATGGGCACAGTAATAAACATGTAATAAACATTACATTTGAATCATCATATGTGGCTCTAGTTTTTAAACATCTCTGGTAGGTATGGATAAGAATTGGATGGGTTTTTTGTTGGTTGGGGGCCTGAACTCTGGGCCTGGGCTCTTCAGCGCAAGGCTAGCACTCTACCACTTGAGCCACAGCGCCACTTCTGGCTTTTTCTGCTTATGTGGTGCTGAGGAATCGAACCCAGGGCCTCATGCATGTGAGGCAAGCACTCACTGAGCCACCTTCCCAGCCCCAAGAATTGGAATTTTAATTTCCAGGAACCATAGTCTTGACTTCTTTCAAAACTCAGGAGCAAGCCATAGTTGGTAGCCATACACAAACAGATCTTGGAGAACAGTTTTGCAGATCCTGAGATCTCACCAGCACTTGGCTCCCTTCCCATTTGTTTGGAAGAGTATAAAATTACACCTCAAGACATTGCAAGGGAAGCAGAATCACAGGAAATCTGGCACTTGGTGTTCATGTCTTAGGTCCAATTCTGAATCAGCTATACTAACTATACCTGGCTACCACAGATGGATAAGGATTAATAAGGCCTATAAAGGACTTAAACCTATCTGAGTAGGTAGGGTTTTAAACATAAGCCGTAAGTTCTCACATGAGATACTTCCTCTGGCAATACTGGTGTTCAAACTCAGGGACTCCTTATGAGGCGGGCACTTGACCACTTGAGCCATATCCCCATCCTTAGGACATACCCTTTTTTTGATGGGGAATCCTGGAGCAAGCTTTTCTGCCTGGGCTTGCTTTGAACCATGATCCTCAGTCTCAGTAGCTAATATATGCATGAGCCTGGCTGACATACTTTATAAACGTTTTTTGTTACTGTAACAGTAGAGGGTTTACAGCTACATGTTAGGTAATAAGTACATTTCCTTTTGGACAGTGTCACCCCTCAGGACACACTTTTTTTGTCAGTCATAGGGCTTGAACTCAGGGCCTGGGCACTGTCCCTGAGCTGCTTTTGCTCAAGAATAGCACTCTACCACTTGAGACAGTACCACTTTCAGCTTTTTCTACTTATGTGGTACTGCGGAATTGAACCCAGGGCTTCATGCATGCTAAGCAAGCACTCTGCCACTAAGCCACGTTCCCAGCCCAGGACATAAACTTGACCAAAGATAAAAATCCTTGATTTGAGCTTCGAGCCAGTTAGAAGTCCAAGCTAATATTGAATGTTACTTCTTTGCTGAGACTTCTGACTACCATTTTGTATCTGGAGCCACTGGGCTGGCTTCAAACTGACTCAGATTTCAGCCTCCTGAATAGTAGCATAAGCCACTAGTGCTCAGCATTATTTTTTAAGACATGGGATTTTGCTATGTATCCCACTGTGGCTTAACTCTTGGGCTCAAGTGATTTTCTACCCTCAGCTTCCCAGGTGCTAAGATTATAGTCGTGTGTCATCATGCCTGGTTAAAACTGTTCAATTAGGGGCTGGGAAGGTAGCTCAGTGGTAGAGTGCTTGCCTTGCATGCATGAGGCCCTGGGTTCAATTCCTCAGCACCACAATAGCAGAAAAAGTCCAAAGTGGCACTGTGGCTCATATGGTACAGCACTAACCTTGAGCTGAAGAGCTAAGGGACAGCGCTTAGGCCCAGAGTTCAAGCCCCACAACCAGACCCCCCAAAAAAAAAAATCTTAATATGTTCATAAAGCTGGGCCCTGGTAGCTCATGCCTATAATCCTAGCTACTCATGAGTCAGAGGATCATGGTTGTAAGCCAACCCCAGAGGATCATGGTTGTAAGCCAACCCCAGAAGGAATGTCTTAAATTAATCGCCAGAAAACCACAATGCTATCCTTGAACAAAAGCATTCAGGGACAGCGCCTAAGCCCTGAGTTCAACCAGACATGGGGGGCTTACATCCAAATCCTAGTTACTCAGGAGGCTGAGATCTGAGGATCATGGTTGAAAGCCAGCCCACTCAAGAACTTCTGTGAGACTTATCTCCAATTAGCTACCCGAAAACAGGAAGTGACACTGTGGCTCAAAAACTCTCCATACACTGATAGAGAAAATATTCTGTCCAATTATAGCAAAACCTTTTGTGTTCAGGAAGCTCAATGAAAGGATTTTGAAATGCAAAATGAAAGCCGGGTGCCGGTGGCTTACACCTGTGATCCTAGCTACTCAGGAGGCTGAAATCTGAGGATGGCAGTTCAAATCTAGCCCAGGTAAGGAAAGTCCATGAGACTATTAACCAGCAGAAAACCGGAAGTGGCGCTACGGCTCAAAAGCCTTGAGCAAAAGAGCGAGACAGAGCCCATACCCAGAGTTCAAGCCCCACAGTCAAAAAAAAAAAAGAAGCCGGGCGCTGGTGGCTCACGCCTGTAATCCTAGCTACTCAGGAGGCTGAGATCTGAGGATCGCGGTTCAAAGCCAGCCCGGGCAGGAAAGACCGTGAGACTCCTATCTCCAATAAACCACCAGAAAACCGGAAGTGGCGCTGTAGCTCAAGTGGTAGAGCGCTCGCCTTGAGCTGAAGAGCTGAGGGACAGCACCCAGGCCCAGAGTTCAAGCCCCACGACCGACAAAAAAAAAAAAAAAAGAAAAGAAATGAAAATGAGAGCTGACCTGACTGAAACATTACACAATCACACATGCATACATATGTCACAACTTAATAGCAGCTCATTAATTGGTGTAATTTTGTTTGTAATGTGTCAGTTAAATAATTTAAAGTTTAATCAATCTAAAACACTTTTAAAAACCCTTTATGTGAGCTGGGAATGTGGCTTAGAGGTAGAGTACTTGCATAGCATTCATGAAGTACTGAGTTTGATTACTCAGTACCAGTTAAACAGAAAAAGCCAGAAGTGACGCTATGGATCAAGAGGTGGAGTGCTAGCCTTAAGCAAAAGAAGCTCAGGGATAGTGCCCAGGCCCTGAATTCAAACCCCCAGATTAGCAAAAAAAGAAAGAAAAGAGAAAAAAAGGAAAAAAAGAAAAGAAAAATCCTTTATGTGAATGCTTTGATGAACTGCATTGAAGGGAATAGAGTGATAAGGGAGCTCACAAAGCTTTGGAGGTAAGTTAGGCCTAAATTGACATCAAAAATCTTTCACTAAGCCAGGCCCTGGTGGCTCACACCTGTAATCCTAGCTACTCAGGAGACTGAGATCTGAGGATCCTGGTTCAAAGCCAGATCAGGCAGGAAAGTCCATGAGACTCTTATCTCCAATAAACCACTAGAAAACCGGAAGTGGCGCTGTGGCTCAAGCGTTAGAGCGCTCGCCTTGAGCTGAAGAGCGCTGGGACAGCACCCAAGCCCAGAGTTCAAGCCCCACCACTGACTAAAAAACAAAAACAAAAAAAACCTTTCACTAGCTGGGCACCAGTGGCTCACGCCTGTAACCCTAGCTACTCAAGAGGATGAGATCTGAAGATCGTGGTTCAAAGCCAGCCCAGGCAGAAAAGTCCCCATGAGACTCAACGCCAATTAACCATTCAAAAACTGGAAGTGGCTCTGTGGTGCTAGTGGTAGAGCGCCAGTCTTGAGCATAAAGCACAGGAACAGTCCAGGTCCTGAGTTCAAGCCTCACAATCTACCAAAAAACAAAACAAAACAAAAAACAACCTTTCACTTACTAGCTGGTTGGTCAGGGACTTGCTTAATCTCCCTGAGCAGGAGTAAAAGGGGAACTAATAATATTGTGCTATAGATTTGCTATGATACCAAAATGAGATAGTGTGTCAAAAGTGCTTAGCTGAGCTGGACTTGGTGGTGCTCACTTGTAATCCCAACCCTCTGAAGGCTGAATCAGGAAGATCATAAATTTGATGCCAGCTTGAATCATAAAATGTCTCAAAAAAAAAAAAGTAGGCCTAGCTTATCAGTACATGGTAGCAATTTGTCCTTAAAAATTCCTGAAACAAAGTTGTAAGTAATGTATTCCCTTTCCTTCCGTTTCTTTTTTATATTTTGATAATACAGGGGTTTGAAATCAGGACCTTAAACTTGCTACTGATGAACCACACCCTCCGCCTTTTTCACTTTAGCTGGTTTCTTTGTGTGTATGTGTGCTGGTCCTAGGGCTTAAATTCAAGGCCAAGGTGCTGTCCCTGAGCTTTGGTCTCAAGACTAGTGCTCTAACACTTTAAGCCACAGCTCCATTTCTGGCTTGTTGGTAGTAAACTGGAGATAAGAGTCTCACTGACCGCCGTGGCACTGGTGGCTCACGCCTGTAATCCTAGCTACTCAGGAGGCTGAGATCTGAGGATCGCGGTTCAAAGCCAGCCCGGGCAGAAGAGACCATGAAACTCCTATCTCCAATAAACCACCAGAAAATTGGAAGTGGCACTGTAGCTCAAGTGGTAGAGCGCTGCTTTGAGCTGAAGAGCTGAGGGACAGCGCCCAGGCCCAGAGTTCAAGCCCCACGACTGACAAAAAAAAAGAGTCTCACTGACCATGAGACCTATGTTTCTTTGGGCCTGGCTTACTTCACTTAATATAATTTTTTCCAAGCCTTTCCATTAATTTATGGAGGGGAAGGGGAAAAACAAATCGTTTAAATAGGGATACAGGTGGACCCATTGCAACAATGAGATGTACAAGTCGTTATATCTAAAACGAACTTTACAACTTGGTGGGGGGGGGGCGGGGAGGATTGGGTGGGGGTGGGGGGAGGATGGGAATGGATGGGAAGGGGAAACAAAGGAGGAGGCTACAATGCTTGATAAGAAATGAAGAGTCTCACTGACTTTCCTGACCCCCTTCTCCGTGGCTCTGAAATATGAACCTCAGATCTCTAGCTAGAATGACAGGTGTGAGCCCCCAGTATCCAGCGTACTTTAGTTCTTTTTTCCTTTTTCCTTTAGTTGAGACTGAGGCTCAAAATAGTATAGGTCCCCACTGTAAGATACATAAATATTTTTGTTTTTTGTTTTTTGTTTTTGTTCTGGTCGTGGGGCCTGAACTCTGGGCCTGGGCGCTGTCCCTCAGCTCTTCAGCTCAAGGCTAGCGCTCTACCACTTGAGCCACAG